AGTGAGAAAGGACATTATCTCTGCTCGCGTCGACCCACTTTGGCAGCTCCCGGCATGGAGGCTGTCTCACCTTCAGAACCGTGCACTTTTTTTTGCTGCACCCAGAGGAGACACCACATTTCACAGTGTAATTTATGGCGTGAGAACGAAGCTTTGTCCCGACATGCAAATACGGGCAGTCTCAACTGGCCGAGTTCCAAATTAGTCCCGAGATGCGTGTTAGATGGCGCTCAGTGGGAGGTAATCTGGCACTAAGTGATACCTGATGGCTCCCCCGGCCTGTAAGTGCAACCAAACATGGAAATTTGGCCACAGATCTCATGTGGTGAGGGTAGAACGCAGTCCACCGATTCACCACTGATATTCCGGTCTTTGGAGGTGTGGTAGAGTGGTTTCCCGTCATTACGGAGGTTTTGCCTGCACGTGTCACTCTAGTGGGTTAGCATTTGTAGTGCAGTTTTGAATTTCAGAATTTATTTTAATTTATTTCTGAATATACTGCCAGTTATGTTTTACTCATGCTTTGTCTAACCCATTGTGATTTCTGCACAGAAATCACTAGAAATGCTATTGACTATATTCCACATACTTTAATTCATAGGAATACAGTATGAGTGAGAAAATGATAATTATTCAGTATTCAGTTCTTTTTGAAAGACACCTGGAGAAAACATCTGCCAGACAGTTTCTACGTTTCTTTCTCCTCTTTCCTGTCTTGTCTGCCTGAGTGTTGTTTCAAGGAAAAAAGCATTACCAGCTATTCTGACCTTTGAAGTGGCGCAAGCTGGAATAAAGTGATATTTCCTGGTCTATGGGGACATTAAATGCACATCACTGTACAGAATTAAAAACCTGCCATTTGAAAGAGCAGGGTTGTTTTTACTGTAAACTACAGATCAAAAATAAAGAGTGCTACAGGAAAAGGGAGTGACCAATCATATAGCAGATGTTGTAATTTCCTGTAGTGTGTTCTTCATGTAGATCCCGTTTCTTTGCATCACCCTCAGGCTGTAGCAGGAGACTCCTTTTAACATAAAATTTATGTCTTGGGTGTCATGTTCAGTGTCTAAAAGGAACAAAAGATGTGTTCAGATACTTAAGTCACACTATCATTCGTACATCTTAAGCAAAAGCAAAAATGACTTCATCGTCTTTTTGTTTTATTTGTCTTAGGTTATATTTAGTGGTACTCATTTTGAAGTTTGATTTTCAGGAGAAAACTGAACTCTTTCGGTAACTCAAAATACCTGCAGATTTTCCATTCAATTCAGGAAATTCTGAGGCAGGCAAGTCACTCACTGCACCGAGAGACTTCAGGGTGCCCTCCTCACAATGATCTTAAGAGTAATGACGAGGTTGCATGTTCATGCTGCAGGTGAGGAAATCATAATTTATATCCCAGATGATGCCTGACACTCTCAGGAGATATTAGTGGGAACTAACTTTCTGATCTGTGTATGTTCCCTCCTGGCACAATGATTTTAACCTTTTTTGGTAGGTGAACATTTTAGTTTTTAATGGTACCATGTATCACCTCTAAGTGGCCGTAGTAAAGTACCTTGATGTTCCCAAGTTTCCCTAATTAGGCCCAATGTACCCAGTGCATTGTGGGTCTACTGCTGATATTTGTGTTTGGTCATTGGTCATTGGGGACATGGGTGTGGTAGGCGGGGCAAATTTAGGTGATGAGGCCATTCACTGGTTCATATTACTGATGATACAAAATTGGGGTCTGAGCACCAAATGAGGAATAGCAAAGGAATAAGTGTGAACTGAAAAATTTAAATCAAATACGAGAAGAAAGTTGCGTAATAGCTGCAATGAAACTCCGGTACATTCTGTCTAGCTGCATGCTGTCTGGCTTTGTGTGGATGTGTTTTACCCCCCCCTTTTGAAAACATGCCACTTCGCGTTACTCCAAAGAACTAAAGACACCAGAATCTGTCCAGGTTTCCGCTAAACGGTGGAGCTGGTCTCTCATCCTTCTAACATCCACACCTGCAAGTACAATATCCTTTATTTTTGGCTGAGTGCGGGAGACGGATCGATGGGCGGCCCAGGGGCCGGCAAGCCAGCCAGCCGGGAGCAGGGACAGAAATAAAGCAGAGTGGGGGAGGAGGAGAAACAGATGGAGGCGGTTATTACAGGCGGTGAAAATAGAACACTGAAGCGAGGCTGACTGTTAGGGATCCCACCGCAGAGATATCCCCGGTAGCAGACTGTCAGGATGGACCCGGCACCAGCATCCAGTGAGGAGCAGCGGACGAAAGTGACGAGGGCTCCTGCTAGCGTGATGGACGGGGCAGCGGGCTTATGTAAGCGCGTCGTTCCGTGCCCATTTAGCCGTCCACTTTGGATTTCAGTCCCGGCTCTGCAGGCAGCGAGGAGCAACTGGGCTCACCTTCCCTTTCGGGGTCTCTCTCTGTCGTTTTTCTTCTATCTCACCCTGTTGTTCTCCCTCTCACTCCCTCTCTCCACACCTCTGCCCTTCCCCTCCAGAGCACAGAGCAGGTCGCGGCGTTCTGCCGCAGCCTCCATGACATGAATCCCTCGGAGGGCTCGTCCTCCCCCAGCCCGGATTCCCCCCTCCCGCCGACGGCCACCCAGCGCCAGCTGTCCGACGCCGACAAACTTCGCAAGGTCGTTTCCGAGCTGGTGGAGACGGAGCGCACCTACGTCAAAGTGAGTACTGAGCGTTCCCCTGAGAACCACCACCTTCCCACATCACCCGTCGCTGTCTGGTTTCAGAACGTGACAGAGGTCAGCTGGCCTCCAGAGTTCCTGGTAGAACATGAAGGTTCTCTGCGAAGTGTTGGTTTGCATTATTTGACTAATTATCAAGAATGTCACATTAAGCCTCTGTCCTTTGAGTTCTATAATCCGGACTTGTTTGCGTGTCCCAGCAATAAATCACACGCTTAAAAAAAAAAACCCAGAAACACAGCACTGTTAAAGGACACACTTAATCATTTAAACAGTTTTTTTTTTGGTGTTGAGTGCTAAATCTGTCGCACCGTCTCCCAGGCTTAGCGATAAGTGAAACATCACAAGGATTCTGTTACAGCTCCACAGATGTTATTATTAGCAGCTCTCTATTGTAAGGAACAGACACAAAAGATAGAGAAGGCCGGCTTCAGCATGCTGACACCCGAACAGGTAGCGCAGTGCAGGAGGACATACTGTAGACTCATGGGCTGAAGGTCACCCGCTGAATGAGGCAGCCGAATGCCTGGATGAAATGTCCAGCTGTATTAGTGGGAAAACTGACTCTAAGAAGTGTTGGTGAAGCTATGAAGTCAATTAAAAATAGTTCAGTTCATCAGCCGGTGCGCCTATTGCGGTGTCTCTCATAATAATGATGCATAATTATTTTTCCAGGACCTCAACTGCCTTATTGAGAAGTATCTGACACCATTGCAGCAAGAGAAGTTCCTGACACAAGACGAGGTACATCACCATCACCCCCCCCCCCCAAGACTTAAGACAGCATCTCCCTCCCCCACAGCATGTGGAACATAGTGCCCAGCTGAGCTATTAAGTCATCAGGGCCAGATGGCTGTTAGCAGGAATTGTAATAGTGAATTAATTATTGTGCGTCCATCCATCTTCCATAAACACTTATCCAGGACAGGGCTGCCCTGAGCCTGCAGTCCATCTCAGGGAGTACAGGATGCAAGACAGAGGACATGGATGGGACCCCAGGCCATCACAAGGCTGAATGAATGATTAGGTGCTTCTAAATATCTCCTGTAGTGTGTTATTCATGATTTTCTATTGCATCAATGATTGCTTGTTTAACAAATTAAAGGTCTGATGAGTTTGTAAATACTGCTTCATTTAAGGTTTATGAATGATGATATTATGATGGTACATTTTCATAGAAATATAACATATTTTAGAACAATGTATAGAAGTATGGTGTACTTTGTGAGTTTGCATCCTTTGGAGCTAGCTTCGTGTTTGTGGCGTCCCTGGCTGGGCTTCTTGTTCGGGGCATCCATGGCTGGGCTTCCTATTCGGGGCGTCCCTGGCTGGGCTTCCTATTCGGGGCGTCCCTGGCTGGGCTTCCTATTCGGGGCGTCCCTGGCTGGGCTTNTGGCTGGGCTTCCTATTCGGGGCGTCCCTGGCTGGGCTTCCTATTCGGGGCGTCCCTGGCTGGGCTTCCGATTCGGGGCGTCCCTGGCTGGGCTTCCTATTCGGGGTGTCCCTGGCTGGGCTTCCGATTCGGGGCGTCCCTGGCTGGGCTTCCTATTCGGGGCGTCCCTGGCTGGGCTTCTATTTTGAGGCATCTCTGGCTAGGCTTCCTGTTCATGGCATCCTTGACTGGGCCTTCTGTTCAGGGCATCCCTGGCTGGGTTTGCTGTTCAGGATGTCTCTGGCTGGGCTTCCTTTTCAGGGGCATCCCTGGCTGGGCTTCCTATTCGGGGCGTCCCTGGCTGGGCTCCCTGTTTGGGGCATCCCTGGCTGGACTTCCTGTTCTGGGCCATCCTTGGCTGGGCTTCCTGTTCATGGCATCTCTGGCTGGGATTCCTGTTCTGGGTGTCCCTGGCTGGGCTTCTTGTTCGGGGCATCCATGGCTGGGCTTCCTGTTCCGGGTGTCCCTGGCTGGACTTCCTGTTCTGGGTGTCCCTGGCTGGACTTCCTGTTCTGGGTGTCCCTGGCTGGGCTTCCTGTTCCGGGTGTCCCTGGCTGGGCTTCCTGTTCTGGGTGTCCCTGGCTGGGCTTCCTGTTCCGGGTGTGCCTGGCTGGGCTTCCTGTTCCGGGTGTCCCTGGCTGGGCTTCCTGTTTGGGGCATACCTGACTGGACTCCCTGTTCTGGGCCATCCTTGGCTGGGCTTCCTGTTCATGGCATCTCTGGCTGGGATTCCTGTTCGGGACATCCCTGGCTGGGCTTGCTCTTCAGGATATCCCTGGCTGGGTTTCTTGTTCATGGCATCCCGGGCTGGGCTTCCTGTTTGGGACATCTCTAGCTAGGTTTGCTGTTCAGGATGTCCCTGGCTGGGCTTCCTGTTTGGGTTATCCATGGCTGGACTTCCTGTTCTGGGCCATCCTTGGCTGGGCTTCCTGTTCATGGCATCTCTGGCTGGGATTCCTGTTCGGGACATCCCTGGCTGGGCTTCTTGTTCGGGGCATCCATGGCTGGGCTTCCTGTTCCGGGTGTCCCTGGCTGGGCTTCCTGTTCCGGGTGTGCCTGGCTGGGCTTCCTGTTCCGGGTGTCCCTGGCTGGGCTTCCTGTTTCTGGCATACCTGGCTGGGCCTCCTAAGATGGACCCCAGGCACACTGTCACCCTGTCCCGGATACATCCTCATGGAAGAAGGATGGAAGTCCTTAAGTAGTGCATCCTATCATGTTGTTTGAATTTTTCTGCTGTATTTAGTTATTAAAACCTAATTAAAAGCTGAGCTGTACTGAAAAGTGGTTCACATTGTGGACCAGATTTGGGAAAGGGCACCTTTAATGAACCTTTGGGAAGGACTGCAGCAGTCAGGAGTATACACATCGATCAGTTTGCGTACTATTTCAGCTGGATGTGTCGTATTGCACTGGCTGGGTGGGAGTAAACAAGTGTGTAGGGTTTGTGGCACTATGGCTATGGTGTCATGCCTTAAGGGACGAAGGACTCAAGGACAGGCATGTTGGCAAAACAGAAAAGGTTTTATTAAACTAAATGAACAGGGGTGGTAAACAAACAGGATTGCAAGTGATCTGAAATGGGGGGACTAGAAGTTAGGAAGGACACAGGCAACAGGAAGGTACATCAGTGACTGGACTGGGGAGCACAGGACTGCTCCCCAAAGCATGTATATACTGGACTGACGAGGGAGCTAATGAGAGGCACCTGGGAGTGATTAACCTGAGAGTTAAGGACGAGAGACAAGACAGACAAGTAACAGGCATGACTTGTTAGGGTCACTCTAGGAGGAGACAGGGTCAGGTGAGCATGGCGGGCAAGATATGACGTGTAACGCTTAAAAAAGGTATAAACACCATTCAATAAAGTGACATTGCAAAGAGACACGTTCCTGATGTAGCACTGGGTTTAAAGTGTTCTCTGGAACAGCCTCTTTGAGAGTCTTCTGTCATTTTGGAGCGAAGTAGGTAAAGCATAAAATGGCTGGTGAACTCCGAGTCCCCTGATGTCGTTTCAGCTGGACGTGCTGTTCGGTAACTTGGTGGAGATGGTGGAATTTCAAGTAGAATTTCTCAAGACCCTGGAAGATGGGACACGACTGGTCCCAGATCTGGAGAAGCTTGAGAGGGTAGACCAGTTTAAGGTACATCGGCTTTCCTAATGAGTCCCCTTGGACAATTGGACTGTGTTTAACATGGAAAGGACATCTGGAGCGTTGGCTACACTTGCAAGTCTTTTTTTGGAAAGGGAGGTGATTTTTGAAATACTCCTCCTAATCGTTTGGCTAACAGGACACCGTTTAGGATTCCCTTGGCTGCAGGTGAGCATCTTCCCTTCTGTTTACAGAAAGTCCTTTTCTCGCTTGGCGGCTCGTTCCTGTACTACGCGGACCGCTTCAAGATCTACAGCGCCTTCTGCGCCAGCCACACGAAGGTCCCCAAGGTCCTGGTCAAAGGTAACTCGTGTATCACTTCCCTGCTACAGAGTATGTGCCCTTAATATATCATATGAAGTCTAAATCCCTTTTTCCTAGACAGATTGAAGTTTGAAGCCTATCATGAGGACTGTGTTTCACTGCAGTTCAGGAAGTTAATAGAAATGAATTGATCTGAAAGTTTGAGTAGCTTTAGGCAGTATTAAGCAGAAGTATTGCTCTGTTAATAGGAGCTTTACTTACACAAAATGTTCTGAGGGCAGAATTAAAAATGATTGGTTTAGAGAGATAACCAATCAGATTGTAGCAGAGGTGAGTCCAAGCAACTAGCGGAGGTGGGACCAACCAATCAGATGTCTTGGTTCGCCTCCTCTAGTTGCTTGGACCCACCTTCTGCAATCTAATTTGTTAACTCTCTGAATTAATCATTTTTTTGTTCTGCCCTCAGAACATTTTTGTGCAAGTAAAACTCCTAAAACAAGCTATTGCTCAGCACAGTGCTGCTGAAATCGGTTTTGTAATAGATAGATGCCAGATGACCATTTTGCTGTCTGTGTCCCCCCAGCAAAGACAGACCCCGATTTCAAGGCCTTTCTGGACGCTCGGAACCCCAGGCAGCAGCACTCATCCACCCTGGAATCGTATCTCATCAAGCCCATCCAGCGAGTACTGAAGTACCCACTTCTCCTGAAGGAGCTCTACTCCCTGACAGACCCAGACAGCGAGGAGCACTACCACCTGGACGGTGGGGTGGTGGGACCTCTGCATGTTTGGGGATGTGTGTGTGGGCAGAACCTCCCTGTTTGTTTGGGCTTCTCTTAACACCGTGCTCTGCTGTGCCCCGCACTTTACGTTTGTTTACGTTTGTTTGTACTGATGAATATGAATGTGTTCTTGGCTGTCCTTGCATTTGATAGAGAAAAAAAAATCGATATCCTCTCAACATGGCAGACGTGTGTGTTGCTATGGATACATCTCCACGGCACCTGCACCTGCCATGTTAGATTTGTAACACTGGTGTTGGGGAGGGGGTGTGGTGATTGAGAATGAATTTGTGGATATTTGCTTTTCCGCAGTGGCCATGAAAGCCATGAACAAGGTGGCCAGCCACATAAATGAGATGCAGAAGATCCATGAGGAGTACGGGGCCGTGTTCGACCAGCTCATCACTGACCAGGCTGCTGATAAGAAGGAGGTGAGGCCACGCCGCTGTCTCAGCTGCCAGAAGCTCATTGGCTTTTCCTTACATTTTCCTTGCGTCTTCCACCCATGTACAGATACTAAGACTCTTTATTGCACTTTGTGATAGTTACATAGTTAGAAGGTTAAATATCTCATCTCAGCTTTATCATGAAGTTATTCGTGTTCTGGGATGGTGCAGCCTCTCATTGAATATTGAGAAACACACACCACACTAGCTGTGCAGTTCCCCCTTGTGCCTGCAGGTGGCGATACACTCTGTGGGCCCTAACCCTGACCCTATAGCAACTGTACCCAAACACGCTGGCCTACATGTGCTCGCTGCCCCCTCAAAGTCACTTTGTGCCTCTGCAGGTGGCTGACCTGTCCATGGGTGACTTGCTGCTCCACAGCACCGTGGCCTGGATTAACCCTCCAGCTTCCCTGGGAAAGTGGAAGAAAGACCCAGAATTGGCCACGTTTGGTGTGTTTGCATAAAAAAGCACTCACAGGTTGCATTGCTTTGAGGTCACTGCATATAATTGTTTCTATTAGCCTTTTATGTCGTGGTCTCTTGGTAAAAGCTCAGCTCCTGTACCGCTAATGCACAAGGCTTTGTCACTAAGACAAGCATTAATGTTAAATTAGCTACTTAGGGTTTGTGCAGCCTTGGCTTGGTGTTGATAAAGGGGGTCTGTGTGTAATGTGAAGGCTGGAGATGCTTTTCAACCTCCCTCGTGTCAGTTAATCTGTAAGGAAATATTTCTTTAAAACACAACCTTAGAAAACTAAAGGCAGAGAGCTTCAGAAATCACTCAGAAGAGCCTGGGGTGTCGCTCTGCACTTTGGCCTCCGTCCGTTCTCTACAGCTTTGTCTCTTCTTCTCTCTCTCCCTTTTCAGTCTTCAGAACCGCCGTTGTGTTTGTGCACAAGGACTGCTCTAAGCCGAAGAAAAAAATCGTAAGTGTAGCCCTTCTACAAAAAATCGTAAGTGTAGCCCTCTTGTGTCGTATGTGCACTAACCCCATAAAGAGATCCATGTGGTGGAGCAGTACAGCACAGCTCCATAAAAGTAGGGCACTGGCCTCAGCAATCAGGAACCATCATGAAAGTGCTGGTTTTGTTCCACAACTGGGGCAGTAGGTAATGGGTAGTCCGTTTTAGCACCGCCCTCTTTCTACCATGTGTCATCATCTGCCCAATTCTGCTACACAGTAATATATACCATAACACCTCAAAGGTGTTTCAAATGCACTATGGGAAGGAGTGCCTTTCACACATGGCCATTGGTTGTCTCCTCTTCCCTCAATAGGGTGGGGCGCACCGCGGCTCCACCCCCGACGAGAAGGACCACTTCCGTTATCGTCACATGATCCCCACAGATGCCCTTCAGATCCGGTCCCTAGCAAGTATGACACCCACTGCTCCTGTGCTTCTGGTCATGGGGCTACATGCTATTTTCTCATCAGTTATCATAAAACAGAGGGTAATATCCCTCAGTGATCATCCAGAAATAAATCGCATGCCTGTGCTTTGACCACAAGTCTCCATCACCGTTAGTGTAAAGGTACATTTAGTTAACTTAACATTTCCCAAATGGAACTGATAGAATTATGGTTCTGTACATTAAGTTAAGGTAACGCTTGTGGTATTGTCTCCTCGCAGACAGCGAGGGCACGGCAGTGTGTGAGATCGTCCACGTGAAGTCCGAATCCGAAGGGAGGCCTGAGAGAACCTTCCAGCTCAGCTGCAGGTCGGTAGTCACCTGTCCCCACAAGTTCCCTGTAGTTTTTGCATGCTATGTGTGTTTAAAGACAGGGGTGATTATAGGATTTAAGGTGGGCCATAATAAGAGGGGCCATAATTCATATAGAGGGGCCAACCAATAATATGTTTTGAATCAGTGAGTGACATAGGAGAGGGCCAATTAGCTTTCAGCTGGGGCCAGTGCACCTGTGGCCCCACCTCTGTATGCACCCCTGTTATAGAGAAATTACCGGCGCATCATTAAAGTGCCATATGAATCAGATTTCACATAGAGCCTCCAGTATCAGGTACGTTACTGATAGTTAGATGGCTAAAACTGATATATGTGATTCAGAGAAATCCCAGTAATCTGTTATTGTGCCCAATAATAACCAATCCTGCGTGACACGATGCCTTCCCAGGTCCCCGGAGAGCAAGAAGGATCTGCTGAAGATGGTGCACTCGGTGCTGCGGGACAAACAGCGCAGGCAGCTGCTAAAGACAGAGAGTCTCCCCCTCAGCCAGCAATACGTGCCCTTCGGGGGGAAGCGTCTGTGTGCCCTGAAGGGGGCGCGACCCGCCATGAACCGGGCAGGTATGGGGTCCGCTCTCCCGTACCATGTGCTTGAAATAATCATTTCATAGTCATTTCTTGTTTTTGTCCCATATTGCATTTATATAGTGTGCACATCTATATATGCAAACAGGTACTATATATATATATATATATCTATATATATATATGTGTATATATATGTGTATATATATATATATGTATATATGTCTGTGTGTGTGTGTGTGTGTGTATGTATATATATATATATGTTTTGTATAGCCTTGTAAGGTACTTGCTCATTTTTGTTCACATTTCTATTATTTATGGCTTGAAAATGTGCATAAAATATTTAATTGTAGAGGTACATTGAATTTTGTATATGATTTGAGTCAGAAAATGTAGTCCAATTAGCTGAGTCACAGGTTTGGATAATGGAACGAAGTAGAATTATGTGCAATTTTAGTCATTTTAAGAGATTCGTAACATTCTGCTTGTTTTGCTTTGTGTCCATCTCCTGTGCAGTTTCTGCTCCCACTCGAACCCTTGGCCGGCGAAAGCTGGTTCGTAACCGCTTTACCATTGACACGGACATGGTGTATGATGGGGGCCCTGACAGCGATCTATCCACGGAGCCGGCCACTCCAGGCACGCCGGGGACACCCGAGACCCCCGATGGACCTGGTGAGCTGGTGCACGGGGACACAGACCGCTGGGTGGAGGAGCAGTTCGACCTGGACCGCTACGAGCAGGAACAGGAGGAGGTCAAGGAGACGGACATCCTGAGCGATGAGGACGAGTACTACACTTTGGCGCGGGGGGCCTCCTCCGAGACAGACCTGGAGGTCCCTCTGAGGGCCTTCTCCCTGGGGGACGCTGCCTGGCACGAGGGAGAGGACGAGGGTGAGGCTGGGGATCCGGGCCTACTCAAAGACCCCGCGACAGACCAGCCAGAAAAGACCCCCGAGTGCACGCAAGACCCTGGAGCGCAGAATAGAAGAACCAGTGAGGAAGTCATATGGCTGCGGCGAGATGACTCAGAGGGACGAGTGGATACCTGAAAACATGCAAGACAGACCTGGATCCCGATGCGTCACTCAAATATCTAAACTGGTGGGAAAACAACATCGTTGGCATGCCGTTTCAGAGACCTGTACCGCAAAACACTATTCACAGCTAATGTTGCTTCCCAAAAGTATTTATTCTATAATTAAACACCCATAAAAGACCTTTGCACAATTTAAACACCCACCAAATCCTGTTTCAATAACAGCAACATAAATCACATAATTTAACTTTGTTCGCATGCCTCCATGTTGATGAGAGACGCTGATGGCAGTAATAACTAAAGGATTTGAATGTGATAAGTATTAACCACTGGCGTGGTTTGCACATGAGCCTGAGGCAGCTTACTTACTTTCCAATCATTTCCAGTTTTATATTTTAAGCCTGGGAAACTGGAGTGCATTTCCCTTAAGATCTCGTGGCTCAGACGGTTCACGTCATACTTAAGGGCTGAAGGAATTGGGCCACTGCAGCGGGGGGGCAGGAAGCGGTCAAAGAGGCGACCTTTGAGAAGCCTGAATAAAAAGCGGGATAAACTGAAGTGTTGTGTCATATTGTTTTATTATTATTATTATTATTATTATATTAATTCAATCAAAATGCACCAATTTATATATGTCTTGCTTACTGGAAAAGGTGTTGAACATTTCCATTTATGTTCTGTTGTAGTGCACAAACATCATGGTATTTGTATCTACTCAGAAGGTAAGGGTTTTATTTTTTTATTATTCATTTTACTCGTCCTGTTTTACTTGAATTTTTTGGCAGTTTAAGAAGCAGGTTTTATTTGTTTTTGCCATTTGGTTGTCATGCTGCCTTTCATTTGACTTCATTTACTTTTAAAAGTTTTTATTTAATGCCGGGTATTGTTTGCAGTGCTCTTCAGTTCATCAGGCAACGTGCACGCTTTGTGTAAAGGTTAATCTGAAATATAGATGCTAGCCTTTAAAAGCTCTTCGATTAAAAATAAATGCACTTAATATCACAGTCAAATGAAGTCATCTAGCATCCTTGTAGTTGATATCATACATGTATGTATCTGGTGCCTATATTAACAGGCAAAGCAATGTTGTTTTTTAATTATTATTTTATGAATTAAACAGTAGTATTGCTTCAGAAAAATGCACAGTATATTTTGGTAAATTCTTCAGATTGTGAAGTACAATCAAGATATGAAAATTGTCTAAATCAGTGGAGCTGAAGGTTAGTTTGTTTATAAAATAAACCTCATGTTACCAAGACTTTTTAAAACCCCGTTATGTACATAGGACTGTGTCTTGATATTATATCCAATAAACTGGTTTCCTACTGTGTGTTTAATTTCTTTTCCAATGCTCAGGTTTTTACGGGTGACTCATATTGACATCAGGGCATTGCTGAGGGCAGACAACATGGGCGACCAACCGCGGGGGTGCGGGGGCAGAACGGTGAGCGAGGGAGCAGGCAGATTGTGATGCACTTCACGATTGTATGACAAAACGATGGCGGAAGGACATCAAGTTACACAACTGAGAGCATCCCAGTGAGGAAAAAGGTGTTTCGTTTGATTAACTAAAATTCTTATCTGCGGCGGTTCACAATTCATTCTGGGGAATTAGTCAAAACAGCTGAAGGTACAGCAGAAGCAGCTATCCCGGGTTTTTTAGCTGACCGCGGTTGCTGAGGCACTTCATTCTGCCAGTTATGTAGGAAAATAATCATTAGGAGGTTAAAGAAATCATGCACTGAAAGACGGATAATGTATATATAAGCATTATTCATGTATCAGTGCTCAAGCACTCATTGGGCAAATCCAGTGGATCTAACCATATACTTCAGGACAGTGGGAAGAAACACAGCTGCCAGGAGTAGGAATTGAACCCACAACCCTAGCGGTGTGATGTGTTGAGTAACATACTGAGCCAGCATAATGCCCTTGGGTATTGTTTTGGAGCACAACCACAAGCAGAGAAAAGAAAAGCTAAGAATGGGGGCTTCAGTAGGTACCCTGTGGTATGAACACCGTCTAAGCAGGGGGGGGTGCACACAGGTTCCCAAGAGCTGGATCATTTTAGAAGTTTCCGGCAGAAGAAGAATGGTATAGGTGGGGGACCTCCAAAGGTTACTGGGAAGGACGCTGCAAACATATTTCCTCAGCTTCAGTGATCATTCAAATGACTAAAAAAGAAATGGCTAAACAATTTAAGTTACCCGAATCCATATCAGCCTGAAGAGGAGCAGTTTCCTTGCTTGGGGGTGTTCATTGTGAAAAGCTGGTAATTTTTTGGACAGATTCATGTTATTAGCAACAAAGATAAGCCAGCATACCGAGTAGCGGTGGAGCAGCTTGAGACTGCTGCAAGGGCAACAATCTGTCTCTCAATGTGAACAGAACTAAAGAGATGATTGTTGACTTCAGGCTCTCTACTCCCTATTGGCCATTGAGGGATCTGAGGTGCAGGGAATCTGGAGCAGCGGATTTCTGGGAGTACACCTGGTAAAAAAACTCACCTGGATTTTCAACTCCCCTACCCTAGTCAAAACGGCACAACAAGATCTACACCTCCACTTCCATCCTCTCATCCTCGCTACACTCTAGAGGGGCACCATAGGTAATGATCAGCAGCATCACCCTCTGGTTTGCGAATTGCAAATTCCAAGATGGCAAGTCCCTGCAGCTGATACAGCGCATACAGCAGATAAATCATCAGGACCTCTCTCCCCTGCATCAAGGACATTTTCCACGAACACCATGCCCGCAAAGCCTCTAGCATTTTGGAAGACCTCTCCCACTAGGCCTGGGCGATATATTGATAAAATATCGTATTGTGATTATGAACATCCATATCACCATCAATTCGAATATCATGAGTATGGTGGTACAGCAGAAACACATTTTTTCTTGCATCATTCACGGTTATAATGCACTATTTTCAAACAAATTACATCAAGGTATGAGTCTGTTGCTCTGTCATGTATCATCTCTGAAAAAAGTTTTGTATATATGAAAAAACACAAACTACAGTGTTCCAAATTATCATGCAGACCGCATTCTTGGAACATTCAATATGCCATAAATGACTCAAAAACAGAAATCTATTGTATTTGTTGCGTAAACATTAATATTGTTCTTAAGACATGTCATAAGAGACCCAGTAGCATATTACTGTATAAGCCTTTTCTTGAAATTTCTTTAACCACTGTATTATCCTTTGAACCTGTAAGTGCATGTATAGTTTCTGAACCTCCCAGAGCTGCTGTTTTGAGGTGTATTGACATTCCCAACCACTCTTGTAGAATTTCCCTTTAAAAATGCCCCCAAAGTTCTCAATTGATTTGAGGTCAGGGGATGACGGTGGCCAGACCATGATTCCATCTCTTCTTATGCCCATAGCATCCATGGAGTCATGTGATGCATTGTTGTGCATGAACAGCATTACATTTCAGAAGGTATGATTCTCCTTTTTATACCTGGACAGAAAGTGTTCCATTAAGGACTTTGTGTCATGAATGCGGGCAGCTCGGGCACGGGAGCGAGGCATCAGGCAGGCACAAAAAGGGCAGATGACCCACTTGCGGCTCCAGGAAAACAAAACAGGGTTTATTAAATAAAACAGAAAACACTATAAACACAAAACCAAAAGGACCACGGGTGGTCAAACACTAAGGGGAATAAACTAAGACTAAATATTACAAAACAAAAACCAGGAAGGCAAACACAGGACACAGCTCTAACCAAGACAAGCAATAACACACTCATAGACCAATCAACAATGAACCACTGGGGAACTGAACACAGGCAGGAAGTAAAATACTAATGGGTAACGAGACTAACACAGGACAGGTGAGGCTAATTAACAAAACCAAGGAAACAGAAACTAACACTGGGGAATCTAAACAGGTAAAGACACAAGCAGAAGGCACAAGGAACAAAACCAAAAACCATATACAAAATCACCAAATACAATAACTAGACAAACTCAACTGAAACACTAGGGAGCAAAATACAAAAACAGGAGGCAGGATTCAAACATAGGACGGAAGGGTACTCAAGACAGAAGGGTACACAGACAACCACATGCTCTACTCAAGACAGAAGGGTACACAGACAACCACATGCGCTACACATTGAGCCACAAGACCAGACAGGTAACAGGAGAAATTCAAAGACAAACATGAAGGACGGGATGACCAGCAATGCCTGCTGGTCAAACGGGGAAGGGACACGGAAGGACCACAGCAGGGGCTGACCCTGACACTTTGGGAATGTTGCTGATGTCAGTTTAACATCCTGAAGGCACCTGCCATCTCACTTCCTGTTATCCATTCATCCCACTTCTGTAACCAGGGTCATGGGGTCATGGTAGGTCTGGAGCCTACGGGCACAAGGCAGAGAACAACCCAGGACGGGGCACCAACCCATCATGTACCAATGGGCAATTTGGTAACTCCAGTTAACCTCAGCATGCTATTGGACTGTGGGGGGGACAACCAGAGAACTGGGAGGAAATCCCACAACAACACAGGGAGAAAATGCAAACCCCACACAGGTGAAACCTGGGTAGTGGCTCGAACCCCAGTCCCTGAGGCGTAAGGCAACAATGCTAATGACTGCGCCACCATGCCGCCCCCCCCCACTTCCCATTAATCCCACCCAAAACATCATTCCACCACCTCCTTGTTGGCGCCTTAATCTGAGGGGTGTAAGGCGGCCTTTGACCAGCCATCCGGAATTCCATCCATCTGGAGCATCCAGTGTAGCACAGCCAGGGGTGCGGGCTACGCCCCCCCCACCCCCCGTCCCACACACCCTGTTTCAAGTCTAAATGCCAAGGCCACCCACAGTTGCTGGTGCCTATATCTATATAGGTATGACAATAAATCACAGTTGACTTTCTTGCCATCCATCCATTATTGTAACCGCTTAATCCTCACTGGGGTTGCGGGGGGCCTGGAGCCTATCCCAGGAACAACGGGCACAGGCGGGAACCAACCCTGGGTGGGCACCAACACACCGCAGGGCGCAACTTTCTTGCTATGCTTGAGAAAGGCGGTCCTCCTTAGCTCTCCTTACCCCATGGCCTGTCAGTCTCATCATGCGTCTTCATCAGGACCAACAAACTGCTGCTGGACAGCATTATCAGCTGGAAAGCAGCTGCTGTGATGAGAAATCGTGGCCAAACTAGATATCTCCTCCTCTGAACACTTTCATTTCCTTCTGCTTGTTCCCTTGCCCTTCCTCTCGCTGACATGCTCACTCTATCTATACTCAACGAGGGTTATCACACAAAAAGATGGCTCTCTCATGGTTCTCGGGGAGACGGACAGATTATTTGGCCGTGGACAGCGCCACCAGGTTCTCTGAGTGCCATGACAGGATGAAGTGGAGCTGGGAGGATCTGCCTTCCTGCTTTCTGAAGATTGGCGACACCTCCGGAAGCTCCTGGAGATTACACCCCAGGAACAGAGTGAATATGCATTATCTTTAGAATAAATCAACAAATTATCGATATAACAGGTCATTTCTCTACACGGCATTATTTAAAAAGACACCTTTTCCTCTGAAAGCTTGTGGATGCCAGCTTACTTACTGTACCTCCTGAACCCTTTAAAGAGGCTTTTCTTAATAAACACTTCATAGACTTTTCTACACTATACCCATGTAGGAAGCCGGGAAATTTCCATTCATCCATCCTTTCATCAATCCATCCAACTTCTATTTCCATATCCTGGTCAGGATAGCAGGGAACTTGCTATATTGACTAAATAAATTAATTTCCCCCAGGGACATAATGCATTTCTCTTTCTGCCTAAATTACAGTCTTTAAGTAAAGCTCTGTAACTGCAAACCTATCAAATTGGTCATTTAACCTGAGTGAACAGGTGTATTGTTCCAAAGTATATAACTTTTCAGCAATTCAGTTTAAAAGGCCCAAATTTAATAGGACACAAAGTTGAATATCAGGTTTTCCTCAGATGCAAAGAGATTCCTCATCATCTCTCAATGTATTTTCAGAAATTTCACATTATCATTTACCAGAAGCATGGTAACTTACATCAGTGTAATGTATTGATATACAAAGGTTAAGAAATAACTATTTGCTTCAAACAAAAACATCGAGGAAAGAGAGACATCATCACCAGTAATTTGCAGTAGCCTGTAACGAACACTAGGTGGCACTGCCTTATAATTTTGCTTCGTCTTTAGCTGTTTGTCGAACTGTTTAGCTGTTAGATGTTTTTGAGCAAGGAGTGGACGATTGTTATTGGTTACAGGTAGTATACAGCAAATGAAGAAACAAGGTTAGTATGAGACTGCCATGTCCAGGAATACTTCCATATTTGCCCAATGCATACTACTGTCCTGAAAACAAGACCCATAGCAATTTCTACTGATGCATGTATCCCCAGGGTCTGCATTGACACTTTTCATCCAGAAGACCACACTGCAGAAGCTTTGGCTCAGTTAGCGGCAATGCTAAGCTAACCCAGCATGTGTGACTGCCATCATCAAATAGTGACAACCATAATAGAGGCCATGCTAAGGTGACACTGCAGCTCCAGTGAAAACAAAGCACAGTAGACTTGCTTGTGAACCAGACTAAGAAATTATGATAAGATGTGATTCTCATCATGGATGCCACAGTGTTTGCTTTCCAAAGTTTGATGGTTTTTTTTCAATGTTATTCAGGCGCATTAAGTCAACAGCGATTTTCTTGTTGACTTTTGACTGAGATACAGGCCAAGGAGACATAGCTAAGCTTGTGTTTATCTATCAGGTGTTTCTTTTCCAAACACATGAGCGCACCCCTGACAGCCCATGATGTTGCCGGGTCACATTCTTCATTGGCTGACGCTGTCTCTGACATCACCAGTGACAGTCTGGCTTGGAATCAGATAATGTCTTAAAACTAAATGAGGGTTTTGACTTGTAATAGCGACAAAATAGGAAATGTAGAACGGAAATTGTGTAACAAGGAGGCCACAGTTCCCTCAAGTAAACAAACCTCCTGAAATGGAGAAAAGTAAAATTTTTGGTTCAACGGGTCAATAATAGGAGTCAGAATCTTTATTGACATGTAACCAAGGATTTTTTTGTTGGTACTTTCTGCTACTGTTGGAGATACTGTGACAATATACAACTAACAATTATGGCATGACATCAACAAAGGATGTAATACTAAACATGGGAAACACAGCAAATAGTAATGAGTAAATGAATAAAGGATGAGACAATAATGAGTCTGTCCATTAATTATTCAATTGGTTAAATACAATAATCATCAATGAGAAGTTTATAATCACATTAAGTGATATCTGTATATAAATAATGTGAGAATCTGTAGATATGCAATATGTAATGAAAAAGGCTGAAGAATTGAATAGAACAGCACAAATGAAAACATGGTAAAAAACAAGTTGGTGTTCATAAAAACTTCAGTTTATACACAAGCCAACAGTATCCCTGCCAAATCTTAACTATGACATGAATCCAAATATATATATATACATATATACATATCTATACACACACACACACACACACATATATATATACATATTCTTTCTTTCTGGGATTTTAATATAGAAGTGCAGGTTGCGTATATTAATTGCACTGAAGGATAGAATAAAACATGCACACAGATTACTTATTTAGAATAATCATGACACACATTAAAAGCATAAATTTTCTACCATTCCATCATTTAATATTTGTGGAATTTCAAAGAGAGAAATAGGAATATTCTAAATCCAAGGCAACCCCTCTCTGATCCTAAAGCTTCTCACCTGCTTGGGGCTGATACTGCACAGGTCGGAAGCAGGACATGTCTGTTTACCTTTGAAACGGTAAACGCCCCCGGTTACCCAGCCAGTTCTACCTGTTCTCCAGTTTCAGGTGCCTTTTTCTAACCCCTGAGGTTGCGTGCCTGCATCGTTTGCCTGTTACGTGAGGCAGAAACGAGGTCTGTCGCCTGAAACTGGCAGCTCCGTTATCACGTCGATAACATCAGAAAATGTACGATGTCTCCTCCCGCTGACACTATGAATGTTATGATCACTATTCTTGTAACATTTAGCCCAGGCAGAATTCTCATCATCTGTCCATCTACTCTCCATCACTTGTCCTGCACCAGGAATCGAGCCCACAGCCCTAGAGATGCAAGGCTGTCATGCTTACAACTGAAATACTGCTACTAAAATAAAATCTATCTGAAGCTCTATTTCCATGTAGTTAACAATACAGTCATATGAAGTTGACAATGAGTTGGGTTCACACCAAAAATATTGCAAATTTAGCTTCCATGAAGCCATTTTGCAGTCAAACACTTAAACAGAATACATTAACGTACGTGTGTAACGCACTGTATCCTCACACTGCCAGGTTAAATAAATGTTGCACATGATATTTACAGAGTACACAGCTTCTAGTCTAGGCACTTGTTACTTCACTACAGGTCAATTGCATCTCTACTAGCAGGTCTACCAGCTTGTGCTATCAGACCACTGCAGATGATTCAAAACAAGGCAGCACATCTGATATTCATTCAACCTAAACATTCTCATGCCACACCTTTCCCTGCCTCTCTTCACTGGCCACTTATTGGCACTTGCATCAACTTTAAGTCCATGGTGCTGCCTCTTCATGTTCCCTGAATATTCTTATATTGCAGTTCTGGTCATTGAATAGTTTTATTAGGTTCTTGATGTGCTAGAAGATATTGTGTAGCTCCTGCTCTGATACTGCGTACACTTGTACCACAGCGTTCATTAGAAGCTCAGCCTAGCTGCACTTATGCAGAGTCGACTTATTTCTATGTTGCTTTGGACTCCTAAATACGTAAATTGTAAATGTATGGTGCAAATGTTTTACACCATGAATAACTTATCAATTGACTCTCCCCCAAGTCAGAAGAGTCATATCCACCCCCTCCCAGTCGGAACACTGCAAAATGTGAGGTGAGACAGGTGGAGGGAAATGTGTTTGTGACAATTGATGTTGAGGGAGGTGTGTTAAAACCATTAATGGGAAAAGATTTACATTTAAATGTTTCATAGTGGATATTTATATTTTTTATTTATTTGGATGATGTTTTTTTCTGAATGCTTCATGGAATGCCAGATCAAAAATGGTGGGAAGTGGGGAGGTACGAGATGGGACCTTAAATGGGAACATAAACAAGGAGGGGATAAGAATTATAGAAGCTGATAGACGGAACCGAATGAAGAAGATGTTATTGAGAATGGAAAGGAGAAATGAGCTGTTTGTGAATTAGGAAATGACAAGGATATAGGGTCCAAGGTCAAGCTGTGCATGTGAACCAGTGGGGTTGCATTGCTTGCATTTCTGCATAAACAGAAGCCACTCCTCTCCTGTGCAAATCAGATAATATAACTGCAAAAAACCAGGCACTTCAAAAGACAGTGCAATTTCAACTCTGAAGCTATAGTTGGCAGACAGACGAGTGTCCAGACATGAGGACCAAGTTGGAGATCGTAGGTTTGGTCGCCGGCATACTCGGGCTCGTAGGAGTTATCATCGTCACGGCGCTGCCCAACTGGAAAGTGACGGCCTACATTGGTGCCGACATTATCGTCATGGAGACACTCTGGGAAGGGCTGTGGATGAACTGCCAAAAGCAGTCGATCTTCCGTATACAGTGCAAGGTGTACGACTCGGTGCTCATCCTGCCCCCGGACATGCAGGCGGCCCGCGGACTCATGTGCTGCTCCATCATCCTGGCTCTCTTCGCCGTCCTCATGTCGGGATGTGGCATGCAGAGTTCCAACTGCTGCCAGGAAGACCCCCGGAAAAAAAGCCATGTTGTCCTGGTTGGCGGCTGCATCTTCCTTCTGTCCGGTCTTACCACGCTTATCCCCATCTGCTGGACGGCTAACACCATCATCCGGGATTTCTACAACCCGCTGCTGGTCGACGCGCAGAAGCGGGAGCTGGGGGAGGCGCTCTACACTGGATGGGCAACTGCTGGCCTGCTAGCGGTGGCTGGAATCATTCTCATCTGGTGCTCTTGCCAGCACTCCGAGGAGGATGAGGAGAAACCCGGCCCTGATTACACTGCAGTCAAGTCCAGCGAGAAGCTATCCCGAGTTCACAGTAGGAGCGCGTACGTATGAAAGACCTGTGACTCAAACCCAGAAGAAGACCGGAGAGAGAGAGAGAGGACTGAGTTGTCTCATGTATTAGGAACCCTGAAGACGCCATGACCCTCTTGCATGCAAATAGTCTGATGATGTATTCATTTAAATGTACATTGTTCATTTAAAAAAATATAGTCACAGCTGACATTGTATTATTACTTCTTTGCAAGATTTGCATTCTGTTTATAATTCAGAAGAAATTATACACTGGAATAAGAGCTGTTAAAATTCCCTTGTTTTGTATTGTGTACTGCTTTTTAAATAAGTGCTTTAAATAAAAAAACTGTCTTGATAAGATGTTGTCTGTTTTATGTGTCTGGTGAAGAGTGACGCACACGACAGGAGTTTCTGTATATGTCCCATTCAAAAATCATTCAAGTTCTTTAACTGTTCTCAACTATGGAGAAAGTTAAATGAAAGTACAGGACACTGCCATGCTCATGGTTCACGGACACATGAATCAGCTGACACACCCACTTTCATGGGTGTTCACAATCACATACACAGGAATTCCAAAACTTTCACTCCAATGCATCACTACACATGGAAGTTTTGGTCGGTAGGACCGAGGCTAATGCAGACCCAATGGAATAGCTATATGACGTACAACAATACACATGTTCAAGGCTCAAAAAGGAGGCTTCTGGTCAGTGACACAAACTCGAAAGTGAAGAAGTGCTGCATAGCTCTTGAGGGAATTGTGTAGACCTTGTTTCTGCAGAAACAATAGCAAAAGTTATTATTCATTGATGTATTGCTTCAGTTTTGTCCCTTGACAAAGCTCATGCTGTAGTTTCCATGTCCATCCATCCATTTTCTCCCGCTTATCCGAGGTCGGGTCGCGGGGGCAGCAGTCTCAGCAGGGAAACCCAGACTTCCCTCTCCCCGGCCACTTCCTCCAGCTCCTCTGGGGGAATCCCGAGGCGTTCCCAGGCCAGCCGAGAGACATAGTCCCTCCAGCGTGTCCTGGGTCTTCCCCGGGGCCTCCTCCCAGTGGGACATGCCCGGACCACCTTACCAGGGAGGCGCCCAGGAGGCATCCTAATCAGATGCCCGAGCCACCTCATCTGACTCCTCTCAATGCGGAGGAGCAGCGGCTCTACTCTGAGTCCCTCCCGAATGACCGAGCTCCTCACCCTATCTCTAAGGGAGAGCCCAGCCACCCTGCGGAGGAAACTCATTTCGGCCGCTTGCACTCGCGATCTCGTTCTTTCGGTCACTACCCACAGCTCGTGACCATAGGTGAGGGTAGGAACGTAGATCGACTGGTAAATCGAGAGCTTCGCCTTTTGGCTCAGCTCCTTCTTCACCATGACAGACCGATGCAGCGCCCGCATCACTGCGGACGCCGCACCGATCCGCCTGTCGACCTCCCGCTCCATCGTCCCCCCACTCGTGAACAAGACCCCGAGATACTTAAACTCCTCCACTTGGGGAAGGATCCCATCCCCGACCCGGAGAGAGCATTCTACCCTTTTCCGGCTGAGGACCATGGTCTCGGATTTGGAGGTGCTGATTCTCATCCCAGCCGCTTCACACTCGGCTGCGAACTGTCCCAGCGAGTGCCGAAGGTCACGGTCTGATGAGGCCAACAGGACCACATCATCTGCAAAAAGCAGAGACCTAATCCTGAGGTCACCAAACCGGACACCCTCAACGCCCTGGCTGCGCCTAGAAATTCTGTCCATAAAAGTTATGAACAGAATCGGTGACAAAGGACAGCCCTGACGGAGTCCAACCCTCACCGGAAACAAGTCCGACTTATTGCCGCTCATGCGGACCAGACTCTGGCACCGGTCATACAGGGACCGAACAGCCCTTAAAAGGAAGCCCGGCACCCCATACTCCCGGAGCACCCCCCACAGGACTACCCGAGGGACACGGTCGAATGCCTTCTCCAAGTCATGAGATCAAATTGAGACCTGAAACACAAGAGGGATCTGGCACCTTGAAGAATGTACACATTTAAGGGTTACTTCAAGTATCTTATAGAAGTGTGAAGACAGTATATGTGTTCTCTTGTGGTTGTATGGGTAGGGACATTGGAGGGCCATGGATCTGAAGGAAGATTTAGGGGACCCAACACTTGACAGGGGCCATGGAATACATAATATTATATGTAAAATTGGGTGGGGGGGACCAAGGTGACAGTTTGTCAGAGGGCCCACAATTCCTAGGTACACTCCTGTGTATGGGAGATTAAACAAATTTGCTGATTTGCTCAGAGAAACCTAGTATTGCTAGTTTCCTTGTGTTGGTTTTTCAAGTGACAGAAAAAGTAGCTGAACCAGTTGGGTTGGAAATGAATTTTTCACATACTTCCTGCAGTGTGAAAAGTATTCCTCCCAGCCTTCAGACCTCACTCTGGAACATTCTCCCATGAAGAGGTGGTAGGCATTGCTGTCCCCGCCAGCCAGCACCTAGCCAGAGAGCACAGACATGCAGCCGTCTGTGTACATGGATACCGTGTATGCGGAGAAGCAGAAGCTGGAAAAGGCGGAGAAGAAGGAGGGTATCTGCCTGGAAGTAGTGGCCCTAGTCGTCGGCTTCATCGGCCTGATCGGCGTGTCAGCCGTGACAGGGCTTCCCATGTGGAAGGTGACGGCCTTCATCGGGGAGAACATCATCGTCATGGAGACGCGCTGGGAGGGCCTTTGGATGAATTGCTACCGGCAGGCCAACATCCGGATGCAGTGCAAGGTGTACGACTCACTCCTCTACCTGCCGCCAGACTTGCAGGCGGCTCGCGGACTCATGTGTACTGCAGTGGCTCTTACCTGCTTCGCTATGATAATTTCAGCAGTGGGCATGAAGGGCACCAAACTGGCAGCCCACAGCCCCCGACTTAAGCATCTGATCCTTGTAGTGGGCGGCTGCCTCTTCCTGGCCGCCTGCATCGCCACCCTCATCCCCGTCTCTTGGACTGGTCATGTCATCATCCAGGACTTCTACAACCCGCTGCTGATCAACGCTCAGCGCCGCGAGCTCGGGGAGGCGCTCTACATTGGCTGGGTGACCTCCGGCATACTCTTCGCCGCCGGCATGATCCTCGTGTGTCGTCATGCGCCTCGCACACAGGACGAATACCTGCAGAAAATGTACAAGGCTGGCTCGGTACCTTACTCCTACACCTACAGACCGGACTACACCTACCAGCCTGCGTACACCTACAAACCCGCGTACAACTACCAGCCAGCATATTCCTACCAGGCTGTCCACTCCCCCATACCCCCTCCAGGGTCAGTCATTTACGCCGCTGGTCCTCAGTACATCTGAACCAGGCTGCTCTTGAAAGGGGATCCATGGACCATGTGCAGGAGATACGTGGGTCTGGGAAAGATGGAAAAAAAGAATCTGGAATGCAACGGACCACAAAAAACTGCTTTAAATTTTTGCTTAACTCTTCATTGAGACTCTGTTGGTATTGAGGTCAGAACAATAGCAATACGCACACCTGCGTTACATGGTGACTATTTTGTATATGTTAATTGCTTAATTAATCACAGAAGTTGATTAGATGAGGGGAAGTTGGGCAAATAGCCTGTTTATAAATGACCTCAATGTGATTTCATGTTTATCATAACCATAGACCTGTGGCTTCATTAGAAAGAATAAATGTAATATTAAAGCCTTAATTGTTTAGTGACTTAGCAAACACCAAAAGACATCAAATGATACTCCTGGTTTACTTGACTTCAGAGTAGAATTTGCATGCTTCCATTGTTTTTACAAGCAGTTTATCAGAGTACAAATGCCAATCTGTATGTGTGAGCATTTTTGCCTCAAAATACAGAGTGAAAGACCGACTTGGTGAGGCGGATGATAAACATATACAGGTTTGCCTGCTTTGTTGTTCAGTCTTTCTTTATGCTGTATGGTTTGTCATAGGTTCACATCAGCTGTGATGGTGTGATAATAAAAGTTTTTGGTATATTTACACATTGCTCTTGTTCATGCTATGTTTCACTCTGACCATTTTAATTCTTCGTTTTTCAGTTTAAGATATAACAATTCCAGCGCTCCATGGGCTTCTTGGTTGTTGTACCGGCTGTATTCTCTCACCACATACCATCACGCAATTTTTTGAGCTAGGAGTTGTGGGACTTTTAGCTATCTTTATCCTGGAGCTGTCAGTGAAAATATGTAAAAGAACCTGAAAAACTGGCCAGACTACAGCCACAATGCAAATTTCCCCCAGGGTTAATTAATTAAAAAAAAACACAGGCACACTGCTTTAGGCAACAGAAACCAATAGCATGGTTTCTGTGACAAAGTCTGGTCATCCAATAATATAATTGTATAAACCTACTGAAATTTGACCAAGGGCTACTCTTTATGTTTACCGAACGCTGTCAGAGAAGGCTGTGGTCCAACAGCAGTCACCTGGCAGCATCTTGACTGGCGAAGCACTGATCTTATCCAGAGTATTATGAGAAACATGCTTGCAGTTAAATGTCTAACTAAGAGGTTCAACATCGCTCCAGAGTTGGATCTCTTCTTCCGTCTTTATTCCCACCAGGGATGGACATAACTGGTACGCAAGTACGCATTCACCTTTAAAAGTGATACATCCGGCAATCGATTGTCGTAACAGCGTAAATGCATATGTATTTTATGTGCATTTGCGCTGATATGACAAGAAATTATCGAGCATTTTAACCTTTATTTGCTAATTCGTACTTCATTTGTGGTATAGAGGTTAAAATGCACAAACCTGTAACTAGTAGCAATTAACTAGTTAAATGCCTTGAAGCCTAACAATTACCTCAGATATTTATGCTAATTAAGGCAGGTGACCCCAGTTTTGCATGCCAAACCCAAAAGCTTCCATTGTTACATCTGTCTTTGAAACAACAAAGGAAAATAAAATAGTAATATTTTTTTACAGTTGCCTGAAATCCCGTCCATTGCGATTTATACATTTTCCACTCTTGTTCTCATTGCCGCCCCGCGTGACACCTGCCGTGTGCTCATTCACCGACACGCTTCGAGGAAATTTTGCAAACAGCAAGGACATGATGACCCAGCGCGAGTGGCACGTGGTTTTGGGGTTGACTGGTCGCATTTGCGACAAACAGGTTGTGGATTTAAAAATCACAGAAGGCAGATGATGCCTTTCTCTAAAAAAAATCACAGTGGGAAAGCTCAGTCAGTCTGGTCAGCAAAACAGAGTGACTTTGGAAAGGGCTGGAACTTTCTTTGGAGGAATCAGGCTGGCAGAAAGCCTTCTGAACAAGCAACTGTTACATTTGGTTAGATGTGAAAAAGATCACAAGCATAATGGGGGGGGGGGGCAGAGACCCTGGGGCTGAAAGTGAAGTAGAACAAACCACTGTAAACAAAAGCCATCCATGAAGCATAAATACTTTGTAAAAACTCCACACCCTGATAAGAGCATCTGCTTACTGACAAAATAATACATCACTGAACGTGGGAATATTCTCCATGCCTGCAGCCCTCTTGTGTGCCCTGCCTTTGTTCCATAAAGCTCAATTTAACAAGATGAAACAGGACACCTATGAATAAACATATCCCAAAGCCTCCTGCCACTCCTGGGTCCCAAACACAAGGACGAGAGAAAAAAAAACAACTGGTTATAGGGGATTTTGTTTCATAGCAACAGGTAGGTGGCCCCGCCTTCGCCAGCCAGGGGGGCGGAGGCTTGGTCAGGACTCTCGTCAGTTCCTATTCCACAGGGATGCAAAAGCAAATGAGGGGAAGGTTATAGCTCAGAGCAGGTCTGAGCTCACGGGAAGATGGCCAACCTGGCGCTGGAGATGGTGGCTATGGGCCTGAGCCTGCTGGGCCTGATCGGGGCGTCGGCGAGCACAGGGATGCCCATGTGGAAGGTGACGGCCTTCATCGGGGAGAACATCATCGTCATGGAGACGCGCTGGGAGGGCCTGTGGATGAATTGCTACCGGCAGGCCAACATCCGGATGCAGTGCAAGGTGTACGACTCACTGCTCTACCTGCCGCCCGATCTGCAGGCGGCTCGCGGACTCATGTGCTGCTCCTTGGCGCTGGCGGGCCTCGGCATCCTGCTGGCCATCACCGGCATGCGCTGCACCTCCTGCATCAGGGGCAACTCCAGCGCCAAGCGGGTGATGCTAATAGTCGCCGGCAGCATGATCCTGGCCGCCTGCCTGTGCGTCCTCATCCCCGTCTCCTGGACGGCCCACGTCATCATCCAGGACTTCTACAACCCGCTGCTGATCAACGCTCAGCGCCGCGAGCTGGGGGACGCCTTGTACATTGGCTGGGTCTCCTCCGCCGTGCTCTTCGCCGGAGGCTGCATCTTCACCTGCTGCAGCATCTCTCGGGACAAAGACGCCCCCGATGAGCGGACGTACCCCCGCAGCGGCGCCCTCCTGATGTACCCACCGCAGGTCCTGCAGCCGCACCCCTTGAGCTACAGCTACCTCTCCCGCCAGCCTTCCCTGCAGCCCTCGTTCCACCCGGCCATGCAGCCTCCCATCCATCCCGCCATCCAGCTGTCCAGGCACCCGTCCAGCGTGCACAGCGGCATGGCTTACCTCTGACATCATCGGCACTGGCCTGACCCCGAGTCCGGCGGAGATCGGAGTCCGACAGCGGCGTCACGCTCCTCTCAGGTGGGGGCAGATCTCTCCACCAGCCCGTCCGGCAGGATCAGATGGGGCCCCGGCAGCCCCAGGCCCGCCTCTGCAAGATCCAGTGCCGAGAGGATCACCTAAATGCAGTGGACTGTGAGGGACATTCAGAAGGATAAGTATCAGCAATATATGAGATGAGTGAAATTAAAATGAGCACATTGACGAACATCCTTTAATTAATTCTGTTCTAGAGATAATCAACAGATTGCAAATTACAGCGTATCGAGCAATAATTAATATCATGTTTATTAAAAAAGTATATTTTGTATCCTAATGTTCCAATGCAGTAGAAGATGTCTTTAGCATTGTCTTCTGAATAAGACGTGAATATTGGTAGGTTTTTCAGAGATGATCAACACAAGCATCCATTTTCCAGGGACGTGCTCTTGTCTCTCCTTCTCTCGCTTGTGAAATTTATCACCCGTGACAATGAATGCTTTGCTCTTACTGTGGACATCGGGTTCTTTTTCTGTGTAAAGAGAGTTTTAACGTGTCTCTTTACGGACGGCAAAACGGAGAGCGTCATAACCTGGGGCTGTGCCTCTCAGGCCACTGACGGCGCTCTGTTTAGGACCGACACGCCGACACGCAAGCAAGGACTCGAAAATCATACCCCCCGCTCTTTTGGAAATAGTTTCTTGTCCTTTGTCAGTAGGGTAGCAGAGAACGTAATAACTGGGGCACCTGTGCTCCCTGAAAGCCGCCTGACTGGCCCCATGCCCGAAACCCCTCCGTGTGACTCGATGGGCTCTGTCATTCGCGAGAGTGGCCTGTCACGTTCATCAAGCCGATGCCCACTGGACAGAAGGCGGCAGAAGCTCTGGCTTAGTGTCAGATTGTAGCTTTGCTGAATTCAAAATCTGCTCTAAATAAAACTCAGTGAAGTAAGGGCTTTGAACAGCTTCTTTTTGAAGGGTCATATACAGGCTGTTACCGGGTTAAGAACATCCGACTTACCAACTCATACTAACACACAGACTACCATAAAGCCTATCATATTCAAAATTTACTTCATAGTAACGAATGCACACACTACTTCCTGAAGCCCGTGAAAACATTGTGCAGCTTCAGCAGTTCATCGACTCCAGGTACAGTACAGTGCCGTATGTAGAACTTCTATTATTACTGTTTTATTAGTTACTGTATTATTATTTTATTGACTTAGCTACAAATTCGACTTAAAGACAGACTTAGGGAAGGGAACGGATCTCGTGCATAACCTGGGCTCTGCCTGTATTACATTTCATACTGCAATTATATACTTACAATTATATAGTCATTATTTAACTGAATTTATTTAGCTCCTTTCTCTAGACTCCCAGAAGCACTTGCATTGGCATATACATCGGTTCACTGAATTTGTTCAGTTTACTTTTTTCCATTAAACCTTGTAAAGTTTGTATCCTTCCTGATATTGTCAGTGGATGAAAGTCACAGTAAGCAGACTGCATGTAGTGAAAGACTGAGAAAGACCCCTAGAGGAACTTTCAGGTCAAATTACACATTAACCACATCTCTCTGTTTCCGCATTCCTGTCTTGTTTGTAGCCTCCTGTTAATACTGTATTACTAAGCTGTAGTTTGTAAATCTGAGTGTGTAATGAAAAAACACCAAATGAACTGTTTTACTATAGAACTGAAAAAGGAAATGAAATAGAAGTCATTATATTACCCTCATTGCAATAAGAACAGATGTGTGAGTGTTTGTGTGTAATATGTGAAAAGACCTATATATCAATCTTGGAAAATTCCCCTTTTTACAACTTGATGTGCTTTTAAAATTAAAATCTCAAGGTTCAAGTTTAGCTTTATGCCCAAAGGGAAAATATTTTGTGGCCAGTTTTCACATCCAACAGAGCACAAGGATGACTTAGCTTTCAACATCAGCACAACACAGTGTAATAGATGCAACAGACAGAAAAGTACTATAGATATAATAAATATATTAAAAAGACAATGGGCAAATTTTCCATTGCAAAGAACAGTAGTGCATGAAAAGAAAACTTCATCCTAAGTACAATATTCTGAATATCTGCTATGATGCATAGAAATAGTACTGGGAATAAGGGAGACCCATAGTGTCTTAGTTCTACAGACAGGGGGTGCTGAAATAACAACCTGTGGACAACAACACAAACTCCATATTATTGGATGGTCATGACAATTCAATATAGCTAGAGCCCTCCTACATTTACATTTACGGCATTTGGCAGACACCCTTAGCCAGAGCGACTTACATAAGCGCTTAAGTCTTTTTAGTAAATACATTCTAATACTGGTTCAATAGAACCAAGCTAAGAAAACAAACTATAACTCTAAAAACCCGATTTGCAAGTAATTTTTTTAAAGAGTATAATCATGGAAGTCCTAATCCAAGTGCTTCCGGAAAAGGTAGGTTTTTAGTTGTTGAAGGCACCCAATGACTCAGCTGTTCGAACATCTAGGGGAAATTCATTTCATCACATGGGTGCCAAAACAGAGAAGAGTCTAGATGCATGCCTTCCTTGTACCATGAGAGATGGTGGGGATCAGTTGAGCGGTGCTGGAGGATCTGAAAGAGTGTGGTGCGGTGCGGAATGAGATAAGTTCTTTTAGATAGGAGGGTGCTGTTCCATTTTTAGCTTTGTAGGCAAACATCAGTGTTTTGAATCTGATGGGGGCGGCACCAGGAAGCCAGTGGAGTGAACATAACAATGGTGTGTTGTTGGAGAATTTGGGAAGGTTGAAAACGAGTCTGGCAACTGCATTCTGGATCAATTGCAGAGGACGAATGGCACTCTGAGGCAGCTAGGAGTGAGTTGCAGTAGTCTAGTCACAAGATGACGAGAGATCGAACAAGTACCTGAATGCCCTGTGAGGAAAGATATAGAAGAGGAGAAATCAACATGATTGGGAAATATTAGCAATGTGAGACGAAAAGGACAGGCGATTGTCCATGGTGAGCCAAGGTTGTGAGTGGTGTCCAAAGGACATGCAGAGACGCGAGTGGAGATTTGAGTGCCTGATGGAGGAAAGGAAAGGATAAGTTGGGTATCATCTGTATGGCAGTGATAAGAGAACCCATGTAGGAATATGACCTCACCAATAAATTTGATATAGAGGGAGAACAGAAGAGGACCAAGAACTGAGCCCTGAGGGATGCCAGTGGAGAATCTGCGTGGGGTGAATGTGGATCCCTTCCATGTCACTTGATATGACCGGCCTTCTAGGTAGTAAACAAAGCATTGCCATGCTGAGCCACGGATTCGAAGACTCATAAGGGTGGACAAGAGAGTCTTGTGGTTGACCGCGTCCAATGCTGCTGAAAGGTCAAGGAGAATGAGGACAGATTACAGTTAGGCTGCTCTGGCAGCATGTAGCTTCTCAGTGACAGATAATTATCTTAAAATGTGAGTCAAATGGAAGTCAGCACAAATGAAGACATATATTGTGCGTGTCTGAACTCTCACACTCACTGTAAAACTTTTAGTAGAACCCCTTCCAGAAGCTGTAGAAGCCTTTCTGCTCCAAAAGCTGGAACAGCACGGTCAGGTCATGAGAAACTAAGCAGCCGAGGGCAGGTCTCAGGAGAGCAAAATGAGTTTTATTAAATAAAACAGGAGCAGGGAAACAAACAGGACCATGCGGGGTCAAAATAGGAAGACTAGGATTGGGAAGGGCACATGCAACAGGAGGATTGACGTTAATGACGGGACTGAGCAAAACAGGACTGGGAAGCACATATACAATCACTAATATGATTCAGGTGTTGATGTTTACCACATTAGGATCGGGATTACGAACAAGACACAGCTGGGAAGAAACAAGAAGGTTCTGGAGGACCAGCAACGACCCCTGCTGATCATTCCAGGGGACAGGACGGGTCGTGATGAGAACATGGCAAATTACACAGGCAAACTAATTTAGTGTTTGAATCTAATCATAAATAATGTTTACTTCCATTTCATTTGTCATTTGATAAAGAATTGCCTGTGAAAGACCTGTGACTGAGGTAAACCTACAACAATACGTATATGATCAATTAACAGTAAGACGAGAAAAATGCATTCAGCTGCATTTTGGTAATTAACTTAAGGTATGGAATGCTGGAGCACCAGCATACAAATGGCATCCATACAAATGAGAACACTTTAGTTGTGGCTTAACCAAGAGTAAATGAGTTGGTTTAACACACAACTGCATGTTAAGTTAAACCTGATTTAGTTAAACCAGTGCCAAACTACTGTTAAACTAGTTTTATTAAAAGTTACTAAAACCTGGCCAAAGCAAAAAACACTGAATGATATCTTATTACATGTGTGCGGAGTTTCCATGTTCTCCCCATGTCGTCGTGGGGTTTCCTCCGGGTACTCCAGTTTCCCCCCACAGTCCAAAGACATGCTGAGGCAAATTGGAGTTACTAAATTGCCCTTAGGTGTGCATGTGTGAGTGAATGGTGTGTGAGTGTGCCCTGCGATGGGCTGGCCCCCCATCCTGGGTTGTTCCCCGCCTCGTGCCTGTACTGTAGCTTCCGGGACAGGCTTCGGACCCCCCACGACCCAGAAGGATAAGCGGTTTAGAAAATTGTTGGATGGATGGATAATATTTCATTAATTTAATTAATTTCTCCACCGGACCTTAAATTCTCCAAAATAAATTATTAATACTGACAAGTGATCCATGTTGCAGCTGACAAAAAAACAAGGCACTTCACTGAAACCAAGCTTAAAAAGAAGAAACCACAAAGAGTCTAAACACTGGCATGTAGAAAGCAAGAATAAAGCAGGGAGCAACACGGGATCAAACACAGTGACTAACTGAGGAACAGAAAAAAGGCAGGGATGTAAATAAAAATGAGATGAGGGCTAGACAAGGGACAGGTGCGGGCCAGACTGGAGAAACAAGACAAAGGTGAGGGTATTTAACAACACTACACTTCAAACATCAGAAGATAATGGGAACATTGGTAAATAGAACATAAAAAATAAACTAGATACAGGCAGGGTAAACTAGAACCAAAGACAAAAAAATTAAGACTTAAAATGTAATACAAGAACAATTAACCAAGGTGACAAAAAAAACTCAAAATATTTCACAAACCCCATGACTGCAGCCCAAACAGCAGTGTGGCGGCCTGGGGAATAGGGGACTACTTATGTGAAGCACACAAGACTGGGGAACACAAAATGTGATGGCCAGCGACACCAACTGGCTAAAGAGGGAAACAGACACGGCAGGGACGAATCCTGATGCTATACTAAGTTTAATATCAATGATCCCATCTTCAAATGATTGGTAAATTTTGTCCTAAATTAAAAGAACCTCATTCTTCCCCTAGTCCACTATCAGTTTTTGACAAAAGCCATAGTAAAGCACTATGCTTCACTGAGATGACAGTAGCTGTGGGAAGAACTGCTTCGCATGTCTTACCATTTACCTGAGAACTACCCCACAAAGACCATCACCCTTACATGTGCGCTCCTTCACAACCTGGCAACAGACTGCATTGAGCAACATCTCCCTTACCAACAAGGAGCCCAAGGAGTTTAAGATATTAAATGACCCTGTACAGGCTTATCCAGTGTAACTGCCCATCCTCTTTGATCAAGGTTTCAGAAACATGCCTACAAAATCCAACAGCACGCAGGTTTAAAGATTTCAATGTTTTAAATACTATTAATAATATCTGATTGAGGGCCATGTTTTAACTACATCTCTCCTAAAACAGCAGCTAAACTAGATGTACGCAGGTTTATGATAAACCGGAGACAAAGTGACCTCTAGTGGTGTTTAAGGGATTTTTAAAGGAATGTAACATTTAGGTTTTGTTTAAGATGCAGTTGGGATTTGAACTAGAGGTTCAGAAGACAGCAGTCTTGTGGTGTATTCGTATTGCACCAGCAAGGTCAT